CAAGTCAGTAGCTACTGACTTCATTCGCCACCATTCGCCAGCACCTTCGCTGGGCGAACCTTCGCTATCCAACTTCGCTTGGCGAACTCGCCAGCGAAGTCCACTGGGACTTAATCACAATTACTCGCCAGCATTCGCTAGGCTTCGCCTTCGCTCGCCTGGCGAGAGCCAGCGAACCTGCGCGGAACAGAATTTCATTCTGTCTTCTCCTTCTCAATCCACCATCAACCAACTTCTCACACAACAAAATCAGTACAAACAGCATCAACACATGTTACCCGACTATTCTACGGCATTACATTCAGTTTCTAACCGATTAAATCCTCGATCTACCGATTAATCCAACTTTTGCCCTAAATAGAAAGTGATGAAAACTCTACCAAAACCCCAACCCAACATACATAACATCATGCAATGATCAAATAGAAACATTTCTCACTCTTACCTCGATTAATCAGAGCTTTGATGTTGGTTCTTGATGATTTCCACTTTTCCTCTTCTTCTCTTCTATTTCTCTCCTTTCTTCTTCTTTCCTCTTTCTTTCCAAATGTTTTCTATCTTTCTTTTCTTTCTCTCTTATATATTTCCTTCATTTTTCTTCCTCTCCAATTCCTTCTTAATTTTCTATCCATACCAATTAATAAAAATTAATTCCAACATTAATAAAAACCCCACTAAATCAATTAATTAGTACAATTAATTATTTAATGAAATTTGGGCTGTTACAGTACTAGGTTGAGCCGTGAAATGTAGAGTATCATTGGTAGTATATTTGTCCTTTGAGGAAACATTTAATTTTGTTACTTTAATGTACGATTTTCAAAAATATTCTTTAAATCATTGTTCTCTATATCACTGGTTTCATATTAAAGATGATTTAAAGCTTAATCAGAGTTCAGGGTCTTGAAGATTAGACTTCAGAGTCTAATGAATATGAGGGTTGAATTTATCAGAGTAATTGTGAGTTATTTTTTTAGAAGTGTTGATTGGGTTATCCAGATGTTGACTTTTAGTTAAGCCCTTCTTCATATTCTAACTTTGGTTCAGAATTTGATGGTGTACAAAGTCCAGAGTCTGATGAAATTCAAAGTTCAGAGTCTGATGATGTCCAGAGTCCAGAGTCCAGAATCTATTTATCCAGAGAGTTTTTTTTGTTCCGCTTTATCCAGCGTCTAGTTTATTCAGAGTCCATTCTATTCAGCATCTGACTTGTTCATAGAGTTTTTTTTGTTCCGCTTTAACAAACTATTAAAGTACAAAATTGTTTTTTAATACTTTATTATCATCAAAACTCAAGGTTTGTAGATGTAGAACCAAACTTGTTTCAACAATATGTAATGTAGAACCATATATATATATATATATATATATATATATATATATATATATATATATATATATATATATATATATATATATATATATATATATATATATATATATATATATATATATATATATATATATATATATATATATATATATATATATATATATATATATATATATATATATATATATATATATATATATATATATATATATATATATATATATATATATATATATATATATATATATATATATAGAGAGAGAGAGAAGAGAGAGAGAGAGAGAGAGAGGATCAACTTATTTCAAGAGTAAGTTTTTTTAACTACACACACTAGATCGATTAATCGAGTTCGGGGTCAGAACTTAGTTCTGTCATGCGGGGGATCGTAACGTGATCCTCTCTATCAAGTTTAGCGTCAATCGCCACTAAACCAACTAATGATTGGTTTGTTAGTTTGTGATTCTCTTTCTTTTGGAGATTTTATCCTAGGTCATTGAAGGTCAAATCAAACCTGATCACAGTTGCGGGGAATCGAAACGTGATTTCCTTCTTTACTTTCCTATTTTTTCTTCTTTTTTATATATGATATTTATATAAAAAAAATGTTATTATTAATAATAAATAAATTTCATTAAAATAATAGTTTTTTAAATATAACTTCAATTTTATTAATTTTTTTCTTTTAAAAAACTAATGTTTTTTTTTTAAATTTCTTCTGTTTTTTTACTTTCTAAAAATATATTTGTCCATTAAAAATATAATTTTATTAAAAGATATTCACAAATGAAAATGTATTCACTGACATTAAAAAAAAACTTAATTTTATAAATAGATTGAAATATTCATCCATTTAAAAAATGGCATTGATGAATTATATTTTATTTTTTAAAAATTTATCAATAAATCATCTTTTAATCCATTAACATTTTTTTGGTTAGAGTCTATTCTAAATTAGTAAAATTACTGAGTTCTTAAACATATATTTTAGAGTACAAATTAATATTTTTGTATTTTTTTTATCATAAAATGTTTCTTATGAGTTTCTCTTAAAGTAAAATTACCAATTTTGACAAGTTTTGGGATCAACAAAATGTTACCTATATCCCAATTCAAATTCAAATTTTATACAAATAATAAAAATGAATCAAAACGGTCCATCCTTGATTTAATTCTTTTGTCTTATTTTTAAAAGAAAAAAAATTAGATCTAGTACTAAATGACGAAATTTCAGCTTCATTTTTTTAATTAATTTTTCGTGAGTCAAAGCTAAATATTTTATATCTTTTAATCACCCGGTTACCAAATTAATTTCCAAATTATTTCAAAATTTGAAATTCAAACGCATATGAAAAGAAATTCAAAGTCCACAATTCATATCAATGATATTTAGAAAATATCTCCACACCTTTTAGAGATTAATAATTAAATACTATAATAATTTTTTTACATATATTTGAATTAAATCACATTATATAAATATTAATTTATAAAAATCACATTTTAATATAATTCTATAATTTTAGTGTATGGTTATTATTAATCTCTTTCTTTTAAATCGTTATTGGTTAATAGTGTAAAAAATTTTACATTCCAAATAATAATGGATACAATATTTTTAATAAAACAACCATTAACAAATTTAACTAGTGTATTAAAATTAAAATTGTTAAATTTCTTATTTCAAATAAAATTATATCCTAACAAATAAATTTTAATACCTTTCTTATATTTTCTTTGTATATATACAAATTTTATCTTAAAATTTAATTTCTCTATACTAACATCATATTCTTTTCTATACAAGCATTCATCAAATCACACCATAATATTATTTTCTAAAATATCATCACAAAAAATATATTTATTAATAAAATTCTCAATACATTTATTTTTTCTATGCTATGTAATTACATGAAGGAAATATCCGATATCCATCAAAAAAATACATTAATATTTTAATAATGAAAAAGAGAGAAAAATAAAAAGCACAAATAATCTTCACTATTTATTTTAAAATTTAATGATTTATTATAATATTCTCACAGAAAAATTATAGTCTCATTATATATATATATATATATATATATATATATATATATATATATATATATATATATATATATATATATATATATATATATATATATATATATATATATATATATATATATATATATATATATATATATATATATATATATATATATATATATATATATATATATATATATATATATATATATATATATATATATATATATATATATATATATATATATATATATATATATATATATATATATATATATATATATATATATATATATATATATATATATATATATATATATATATATATATATATATATATATATATATATATATATATATATATATATATATATATATATATATATATATATATATATATATAACAGAATTTATGCACCCGCCAAAAACAATAAAGAAGTTTCTCTCTCTTGATTATAGATTTGTATATAACAAACGCGCTAGTGAAGAAACAAGCTCAACGGAACAAAAACCAGAATCCGTTACTTTCTTGAACCTTCGCCTTCATTACAGATTCTCAATATCCTTCAAAAGCATTGTTTCAGTGTTAGTTCGTTACATTCTGTTCCGTTTTAATTGCTTTTCTGTGAAACTGTGTTGCTATAAATAAGGTACGTGATTTTTGAAAACTATTATTCGAGTTTTGATCAAGTTTGGTTGAGTTTTGAATTAGGGTTTCAAAGTGTGTACGATTGTTGATATCGAGATTTTTCTTGAACTGGTTTGGTTTTGGTGAAATTACAATGGTTTGTGTAGTTTTCTGATGCGTGATTGTGCTGAGGAATTAGTATAAGGTGATTTTTTTTATCTCTTTGTGGATTTTTTTAATGTAATGTATATGGATTATGAAATTGATGATGCTGTATGGATCTCAGTGTTTGTTTTGGATTCATATTTTTCACCGCTTATATTAGATTTAAGATGAAAATTACCAAATTTAGCTTTTTGAATTGGTTTAGGTTTGAAGTTGATGATTCTCTTCTTTATTGATTCTGTTCTTTGTGGCACTGAATATGATTTTAAATTGCAGTTGGAGTCGCTTTAGAAAAATTTGCTATAAACTTTTATATTTGGAGAAAATGCGGCTTGTAATGTCAAAATTGCAGTTATAATCTCGGTAGCAAAGACACCTTTAGATTAAAAAAAGGCGTGTTTGTGTAAGTGTATGTGTCCGAAATCAACACTGACTCTTAATTATTGCATTTAATTTATTATTTTTTCAAATTATTATAGACGTCGACGTTTCAGTTTCGGTGTCGTGTTTCTGGAGTCTCATAGGTTATTATACAATTGTGAGGTCTCTACATTTTAGATCTGTTTCTTCTATGTTATGCATATATTGGTGTCCAACACAGTTTCTTCTATTATGTATATTCCAACACTGACATGACAGATATAGTTATATTCAACCTTTTCAGTTTTTTTATAATTGTATTTTATTTTAAGAACGGTTCTAATTGCATTTATTGTTTCACGTATATTATTTGAATTTGAATCAGAGATCATAAAATCATTTACAGAAATATTCTGTTTTTAAATAGGCTTTTGTACCATCTTATATTTTTTCTTTGCTTTCTTTGAAACTAACTTTCTTCTGATGTTTCAGGATCGTTTCTCTCCAATAGAAGTGATTTCTGAAAAAGTAACAATGTCACGTGTTGGTGAATTACGACAAAGACACTCTTCTGCAGACACAAGTTTTGGAAATACTGAAGAAAAAGTTGTTCCTCGTTATCTTCGAGCTTCAATCAGATCCTGTCACGATTTTTGCAAATATGGGAAGCAACTTGCACTTGAACCAAAGCAAATGAGTTTAATACCTAAAATCGCTGAAAGGACACAACTTCACCAAAGTTTAGAAAAGAACATCGCTGAAGTAGTAGTCGAAGTAACACCAGATGTCAAACGTAGAGCATCAACTGATTCCGAACCAGCAAAGATGTCGTTGGCCAAACGCAGAGAATCAACTGGTTCGTTGGCCAAACGCAGAGAATCAACTGGTTCTAATGCCTCTGGCACTATCAAGATAGTTAAAAGCAAACCAGGCCGACCAGTTCAACCTGACAATGAAGTTGCGGTGGTGAACAAGACGAAAACATCATCCATCAAAGTGAAACAATCACCACTTCTGCCGAAATCCCATTTTTCCTCTACCTTTAAAACAAGAAGGCAAGAAATTTCATCAAGTTCTAAGATGGACATTACACCAAAACCAATTTCCAAGAGGGTGGGAGCTTCATCAATGTCATCTTCCAAGAAGGAGGAACCTCTATCCAAATCAATCTTTCAAAAGGCAAAAGTTCATCCAATATCAACTTCTTATTTGGCCAAAACTCCACCGAAATCAACTATCAAGAAGATGGGCAAAATAGCTTCACCTTTGTTGCCTTCTTCCTCGTCCAAATCTTCGCGCAGAAGAGTTGTTGGTACTAATATGCACAAGAGCCTGAAAACCGCGTCTCGTGTTAAGAATCAACCAAAGCCTAGAAAAGTTGAACTTGAGGAACACTGCATTGAGGCTGAGGCTGAGGAAAAGACTTTGTATGTCATCGAGATAGAAAACAAAGACGATACTTTTCAATCCGATCAAAATGCAAACCAGGATATTGAACTTTTCCGGTCTCAATCATTTTCAACATCCAAGTTTTCATCACAAGAAGATCAAGAGGAATTTGAATATGCGGCAAGTGAATTCAATGAGGATTCTTGTTTCGCAAACAACGGAAAAGTAAATGAGGAAAATTTGGAGACATTGGATTTTAAAGTTGAGGAGAACGAGAAACCGCAAAAGGATGAGATTGTGATTTTGGTTGAAACTCAAATTGAGGAAAGTGGTACAAAGAAGCTTAAGTTCAAAAGAGGTAAAGTGTTGAGGGAAAACAATGCGGATTCTGATGATGAAGGGGAAGATGTGACCGGCCATGAAAAAGTTGTTTTGAGACATCAAGATATGAAGGGGAAGAAAGATGAACAAGAGTTGTTGAATAATGTGATTGAGGAAACAGCAAGTAAACTGGTTGAAATTCAGAGGAGTAAGGTGAAAGCTTTGGTTGGCGCATTTGAGACTTTAATCTCTCTCAATGAGAAAAAGCCTTTGAGCAATAAACATTAGTGTTTGTTTAGACTGCGGCCGAGTTTGGCCGAGTTTGACGTCGGCCGAGTTTGACAGAAAGACGATAACATTTACTTTGATTTTGATAAAAGTTACACTTTGAAATTTTAACAAAATCAAAATGTTACCGTGAATTTGTCAAACTCAACGTCATTTAAAAGTTAGAGTTGTTTTGTTATCTGCTAAGGTTGAGTTAGAGATGAAAGGTGAATCTTTGTATTCAATGTTCATCATGAAATGAATAAATTGCGTAGAGTTTGAATAAACATGAATCATTATGTTAATGGATTCTTATCTTTTGAATAAATCAATGACGATTTTAAGATATTTTGTTTTTTCATAAATGCTTTCAATTAGGGTTTTAAAAAACGGTCTGCACCTGCGAAATTGGCAGGGACAAAACGGTTTTGGTAGGTGTCGATATTGATACCGTTATTACCATTTTTATATTAAAGAAAAAATTGTAATTAACTCACATCGCGACGATCACAATCAATGTCGCAACACTTATACCAACTGAAATCATGAAAGCTGCAACGCGAGCGTTACAGTTTTTTAAAACTTTGCTTTCAATTATAACCTTTATGTTCACACTTCAAAATTGTTTAAAAAATCCAACTAGAAATTACCACAGAAACGTTCTAATTATGATTCAACTGATAAGAATTAAGCTCAATACACTGCATACCTTTTTTTTTAATCAGTTAAAACTCAAATTGATCCTACAAATTAATTAAAAGAAGGGTTAATATCATTCAAATTATTTCAGATCAACATGGTCTTGAGACACATTTACATTCGAATTAATTAAAAGAAGAGTTGATAACATGTTTTGCATATTAGATAATTCTGTTTTACTCTATCAAAACAATTTAGATTTCAATATGAATTTTAGTCCTTTGTAGCATATGCTTATATGGCGCTCCTATTATATAATTTTATTTGGCAATATTTTCACGGAGCACTATTTATTTTATTTTTAAAAAAAAATTTTCTTTTTATATTTTATGCGTTAGAATTTGAAATCATAAAGTTGGTGAAAAACAGAGTAATATATGGTGGAGAGGGAATGTGAGGGAGGGAATTAGAGTGTGTAATTAATGGTGAGAATGCATATTCACATTTGCATTAAATTATACAATGATATCTCTTAGATATATACAATTTCAATGGATTAGGACACAAGTAACAAGTTGAAGAAAAAAAATTGAACTAACTGCTTGTAATTGATTATGCAAAACCTGTAACCAATAACAATTGTTTGAATAAAACAAAATCAACTCAATGGTAACTAATACCAAAACGCAATAACCGGTTACATTAGTTCAAACAACTAAAAATAATAACAGATGTAACCGGTTACCAAAACGTAGTAACCGGTTACAACACTTGAATTATGTGATTTATCACAACAAACCACCTTAATTAAAGTGGTCCAAGTCTTTCTTCGATTGTGACTCCCATAGTCAGCAAATCGACCATTTGATCTTCACTTTTATAATATTTCAATCTCAACCTTCCTTCACTAACAAGTTCCCTTAAGTAGTGCAACCTCATCTTAATGTGCTTGCTCCTCCCATGTGCAATTGGGTTCTTAACAAGATTTATAGCGGAAACATTATCAACCATGAGTATTACAATGTCACCCTCGTTGCTGCTATGCTCCTTCAACAAATTCATTAACCACGTGACTTAGCATGCACACAACGAAGCGATAATGTACTCGGCCTACAAGAAAAGAGTGCAACTATCGGTTTCTTCTTCGAATACCATGAGATTGGTGTTTCACCGAACATAAAGGTGTATCCTAATGTAGACTTTCTATCATATTTATCTTCGTACCAACTGGAATCGGTAAAATCGAGCAAGTTGCATTTTTTGCTCGTGTCCATTGCGGGGAAAAGAATTCCACATCCAATAGATTCTTTAACGTATCTTATAATCCTCTTGACTGCTGCCAAGTGAGACACTTTTGGTCTCTCCATGAATCTACTCACAATACTGACACTAAACACCAAATTCGACCACGTATTACACAAGTAACACAAGGATCCAATCAGCCTCATATATTAAGTTGGATCCACATCTTGAAACTGGTGAGAAAATATTTTCGTAACCAACTCTTTGTCTTTGCAAGAAGCATGGCTTTGTGCTTGACAACCTTTCCTTCAGAATTCACTTTGAGCTTGAATACGCATATGATTACAATGGCCTTCTTCGCTTCTAGTAAGTTCTTCAGTTCCCAAGTCTCATCTTTTTCCATGGATGAAAGTTAATTAACCATGGCATCCTTCTGAGCTTGTTCCTTGAGAGATGCTTGATAATCAACTGGCTCAACATATGCAAACATTGCAAGATGCATTATTTCTTCATCAGTGTCTACTTCGTTATCAAGAACTTGCTCATAATCAACCAATCTCCTAGGAAGTTGCCTTATTCTATGTGGTCATATTTGTGCTCGTGCAAGTTCTTTTTGGATTGAAAAAGTACTAAGGTAACATCATTATCTTTGGCATTCCAGTTATAGACCTCATTCTCTAGAACTATCATATCTCTGCTGATGGCAACTTCCTTAGTATGAGGATCAAATAAACTATAGGCTCCTGTGTTGTGATAGCCTACAAGGACCTTTGGTTTTCTCTTGTCCTCCAGCTTCATTCTTTTGGCATCAGGAATTTTCTTGTAGCACAAGGAATAAAATATCTCCAGATGATTGGAACCAGGCTTCCTTCCTGACCAAGCTTCATCAGGGACTTGGTTTACTAGTTTGTTTGTGGGACATGTGCTTAGGATATAGGAAGTAATGAATACAACCTCAACCAACAACTTATGTGGTAGATTTTTCTACTTCAACATACTTTTTGCCATGTTATGAATACTTCTATTTCTTCTTTCTGCCAAGCCATTGTGTTGAGGAGTGTATGAAGTTGAGACTTCATGAATGATGCCTTGACTTTTGCAAAAAACATCAAACTCCTTTGACGTGTACTCTTATCCACCATTTGTTCTTCAAATATTTATCAGCTTACCGCTTTGTCTCTCCATCATTGCTTTTAAATCTTTGAAAATCTGCAAGGTTTCACTCTTGGATTTGACTAAAAATAGCCACAAAGTTCTTGAGAATTCATCCAAAAAGGTGATGAAATACTTGTTCCCACCATAGATAGGTATTTCTAGTAGTCCAAAAATATCAGAGTGAACAACACCAAGTTCTTTTTTAGCTCTCATAAGCAAACTAAATTTGAAAGTTAGTCTCTGTTGCTTTCCCACCAAACATACTATGAAGGTGTGAGAAAAACACAAGAAAGAGGGGTTTGAATTGGGTTTTCAAAAATGAAAGTTTTTTTTATGAAACTCAAATAGAAATCACAAAGAAACTAAACAATAGAGAAAGACACACAACATATCTTGGTTCACTTGAAAACTATCAAGCTAATCCAGTTCACCCGCCAAGGTGATTTTGCCTTATATTCAAGCACTTAATCCAATATAATCAATTGATTACAATCTGCACTAGCAACAACTGATGACTATCAACCACAAAGACTAATTGTCTAAGTCTTCTTAAGGATTCTGACCTAAATGGTCCCTTAAGGAATTACAAACAACAGTTTGTGAAAGATAAATATTTACAATGAAATGCTTTTACTCAAGCAGATATAAACACAATAAATATCTTTAAAAAACTTAAAGAAAATTTTCACACAGTATGAATTTTTCGTTGTTCTGTTCTTGCATTGTTATTATTCACTATTTTCTTCAAGTTATCAAGTCCGTTATAGCTAATAAAACATTTGTTGGAGGACAGATCAAGAATATCCTTGAGTTAGCCGGCGACTTGAAAGAATGTCGTTACGTAGGGATGAAAATCGTACACAAAAGTTGTCATTTTCATCACAAAATCAGGGTAGTAGAATGGTAGTTGAATGTAACATTTTGATAGGTATTATGTACTATTTCCCTCGTAAACTTTTGATCTTATCTTCTATACATCAGAGGCTTCTAGATATAGATGTTTGAAGCATGAGTAGAAGAGTTGATCACTGGGTCTTCAGAGTCTTCAGAACTTGTTCACCAGAACTTTGTCTTTAGAATCTTGAGCACTTAGTCTTCAGAAACTTAAGTCTTCATAGTCTTTAGAACTTTGTTCAGCAGAACCTTGTCTTCAGAATCTTCAGCACTTAGTCTTCAGAAACTTAAGTCTTCAGAAATTTGTTCAGCATAACCTTGTCTTCAGAATCTTCAGCATTTAGTCTTCAGAAGAGAACAACTATAGAAGCAATAAAGCCTTAATAAGTAAATCATCGCAGTCACGCTCAGAGGCAGAATCCAATAGAGCATTGCAAATCTTTCTGAGTGTGAGTAGGTACAGACGCATACTTGCTTCTTTGGCGTAGAAGCGACTTTTGTCATACTAGAAAGACATTGCATATGGTCTCTATCAGAGTCAGAACTTGTTTGTTAAAACTTCAGAATAACAAACCGTTAGAGTACCAAAATTGTTTTCACACAAATACTACTTTGTTATTATCAAAACACAGAGATAACCAGCAGAACAAAATCTTGTTCTAACATACTATGCATGAACTTTCAGGTATTTGCACCTCAAAGACTCCAATCACCATTTTTTAAAACTTAGTTAGCTTAGGCTTTTTGTAGTTCAAATTACCATATCTCTTGTGCCATGCTTAGCCTTTGTTCATAAGATGCTATAACAAGACATCCTAATTCAGAGTTCTTGTTTGATAGTAGATTGCAGTGGAATGGGAAATGATGGATATGGAGGTATCACTTTTATGTGGAAGGAATCTTTGAATGTACATATTTCATTGTACTCTCTCAACCGTATAGAAAGAATTTTAAAGATGAGAATAATGAAGAAAAATGATTATTGGCCATTTACAATTACCCCAAGGAACATAACCAAAAGCTAACTTGACAATTGATTAGAATACTAGCTCAAATGGGTGGAATGCAATTTTATGAGTGGAAACTTCAAT